GTGGCAGAGTTAGGTTTACGTCCTAGGAAGCGACATATCTGAGATTCCCCCATTTCTAACCTAGTTATGAGATTTTATCCCGAAAAACTTGCTTTCGGGTCTGCGAGGAGGGGCTGCTCCCCCCCCCCCCCCCTCCCTTTCGTTCCACCTTGGCTCCGCCATTGGATGAGCATTCTCTGTCGCGGGTGCAGTAATCTTATTGGGCCTTCTGTAAGATTTTATCACGCACTTTGTTTCGAGACGTATCCATCTTTATGATAAGGTAATGATTTATACAACAGTCGATAAAAAAAACTTTACTTAAAACTTGTTCTAAAACTGGTCTTACATCACGTGATTTCATTCAATGTAAAAATTGTATTTTATTTCAATACATTGACCATTGTTATATTTTATGTACGTCATAGACTCGAATAACATACAGCAGATTTGGGTGGGAGGTTTTTAGACCTGGATAAGGGGAAAGATTATTCATATTATTGAAATAGATACAGGGTGGTACAGGATATTGTCATTGAAGAGGTGACAACTTTTTGTGGACTTTTGATGATTTGGCAAATTATACTCCAAACCCCCAAAATACCTATCTGCTTTCACTTTGTATGGCTGGTGTTTGCCTTTGATCTTAAAAGGAATCTTCCTGGAGAGATTCGCCATGTTGGTGGGTCGGTTTGGGTCTTGAATGTAGGTATATAGTCTTCAGAAATATGCCTATCAGAAATGTGCGACAATCGCACAATTCCTTCAAAAAAAACCATCTTAGGAATTTCACTTTCTATTTTTCAAGAAAAGACGAGTCGTCTCTTTAACTTTTAAACGCGGATAATTCTGGACACACATGGATTTGAAGGCTCAAATTCTAACAGTGAACAGTAAACGCTATTACTGACTAGCTCGGCTAAAAAAAATTCCCATTTCCAAGACTAAGACTAAGATTGGTCAAACGGATGGCGAACCTATCCCTTAAGGACTTAATCATATTTTTTCTGCATCCCTGAAATGAATTCTGCATCCCTGAAATGAAATATCCAATTTTCTATCAAGGGCAAGCGACTTTTATAGACTCCTGTCCCACTCTGAAAGGACACATTTTATGTCGTGTATGGACTTACACCACAAGTTCCTTGTTTAGATAAAATAGATAAGATACATGATCGGTAATTAAAAACCTTTCCGCTTGACAAATCACGCTGCAATGAAACATAATATTATTTTTTACATATTTCAAACAGTTGTGTGGGTTGAGAGAAATACAGGACATACTCAGCTTTCAGAAACACCTGCACTACAACTGTGTCATTTTCAGCAGCAGGGGGTTGGGGATTGCAAACTACATGATTGACCGACCTCAGAAATGCGGGTGACTCGGCCTTGCAACCTTCCACACCTTCCCCCCTCCATGTGGCGGTACCAGTGGGATGCATAGAAGCGCCACTGGCACGTTTTATCGAATTTCACTTTATGAAAGATTTATAACTTATAGATATTTATAATACAGATGAATCTTAAAAAATATGTCCTCAAATCTCAAACTGTCATCACTTTCAATTCTGTCATGTTTCGATGTTTAAGGTTAAATCATGTCTTTCAAGGTTAAACAGTGAACCATTTTTTTGTGAAGATTTAAGGAATGTTTATAGACAGTGACAATGAAGTTAACTTTATAGAACCGTAAGTGTTCGAAAATATATATACAGAGAATTTTTTATCGAAAAATATTATAAAGTGCCCAGCCTACTCGGTTATTCGTTGCCTTCATTTTTATTGCCCAGTCTCCTTTTGAAATGTATAGCAGGTTTAAGTTTTACTTTTCGACATAAATATGCCCTATATGTAGATTAAATTGCGATGTTTGCATCATTTAAATGAAACCGTTTGAAATACGACGTATATGCATCAGTGACAATCCATTTTTAAAACGGATATTTTCACATGTCCCACACCCGCCTGGCATATTTCAAAATTTCTATTATGTTATTAACTTCCTCGTATGTCAAACTGTCATCGAAATCGACTTATTTCCAACATTTTGTAAATAATATGGAATAACGGACAGTGACAGAATGTCGAGTGACTTAAAACCTAATTTGGAGAAATTTATTACCCACTGTCAAGATTTGAAGCAAGAAGACGATCCGAGTGGAGATGGCTTCACAAGAGAATTCAGGGTGAGTTGATATACTTGTTCATGTATGATTTAATGTTTAAAGATGTTCTGGATATCATTTTGAACAGTTGCTACTTTATATATGTGGTATAACGGGATGTGCAGGGCATTACATGATAGGCATGGGGCACTGTGACGTTTATATGAATAGATTGTATGTGGAGGGGGCACAAAATTTTCAGAGGAAGAAGGGGGGGGGGGGGTCATTGCACCAGGCATTTAAGAACTCAATGTTAAGGAAAGTAAGAGGGCTGGGGGCTTTCCCCACCTTCCTGGTCCCCTGTACAAATACAATACTGATGGAGTATTCAGCAGTGATATATTACTAAAAGATTTAATGATACACATGATATAATCCTTACATTGTTATACATATATAATCCTTATATACAAATAATAATCTTCTTTCAAGTGGCACAAACCCTTAATTATCTAAAAGATAAAAAGATTTGTAGAAGTAATAATATTCAATAGAAAGCACTGGCACAGGATTAAAGCAGTATTCATTAAATGTTAAGGTCCTACTTTTCTGCACCATGTGGGCTATTGAAGACGGGCAAAGCCTTGCAGGGTGCAATGAGGGAAATTTTGCCAGGACAGCGGTATTGGCCTGCTCTTTTCTGATTTCCAACTGTCGAGGGATCTCGACACAGCCTGTAACACACAGGGCCTCTGTCTAGAACCACTGGGCAATTTTTCCATGTCAGCCCCTCTGACCTGCATCACTGACAGATGAACATTCGTAGAAATTTTTAAATAAACTCAAAAATTAAGTGAAGAAATGAAAGGATTTTTTCTAACCATTTATGTATATCAAGAACACTAAACCTGCAGATTTGCACCATTCCAATTTCATTCAGATATCTGTGCTTCTTTCAAATGTAAATTGATTCTATGGATGTCCCAGATTCTCATAAAAAGTAAAGAAAACCTCTTAACAATCCCTTTAAGACTAAAATTGTATCAGATATGGACAAAAATACTGGAATGGCAATATTCCTTGATTGTTTATACACTATATCTATATTACAGAACAAACTTCCTAAATTACTTTGACTGAGTTACAATGTCTACCCCAGTAGCAATAGTATAGTATTATTACACAAACAAATTCTCATAGGGCTGTAGGCAGGTTGTAAGAGGGGGGTAGAGAGGATTGGAGGGGGGGGGGGGGTGTTATAGTTAGTACAGAGCTACGACTGAAGCATTCAAATTGAAGGGGATATGATACAGTTATCTAGAAAATGGCTGCATTGATAAGATATGGAAGTAAAACACTATAGTCAGTTTTATAACTTGACACAATTATATGGATAACAATTACTTTAATAATAGCAATCATTACTTGATAAAAACAAAAGCATCACCGTCGAAACGTGTCAAGTTATTTATTAAAGTAATTGTTATCCATATAATTGTGTCCAGTTATTTATACCCCAGTTACTAAATGCCACTCAAGGAAGTTATATAGCCATTTGATTGTTTGATTGTAAAGAGGTTTTCTAAAAAAAAAAATTATGTGTATCGGAGACACTGATAGCATCAATATTCACCATTCCATTTTTCAATCAGAAGTCTGTGGTTCTTGAAATTCCACTAAAAAATGTCACTAATGACCGACTGTGCTATAGAACTCAAACAATTTATTTTGACATGAATAATTTCCAATTCACTAAATGTTTAATTATGGGTTTTATAGGGAATATTAGTAAAATATAAAACTAAGAACCAATTGGTTTTATTAAACAACATGAACATTATTTTATGATATGTTTAGTTGCCTTCACCTTCACTTCCTTACGATTTTTGACAAGGAACAAGAACAAGTAACAAAAAATTTGCCTTAGCAACTTGAAAAGTTATGATTTAGACGACCCAATTCAGTTTGATTTATGAAATTTGTGACATTACCATCCAAAAAGAGTTTTCTCAATTTTATATGTGTATTGGGGACACTGGTAGCATCAATTTGCACCAATTTTCAGTCAGACATCTGTGGTTCCTGCAATTCCACTAAAACTAATATAGGTGTTTGATGATACACTAATTGATAAATATGCTTGTATCACATAAGGCCCTTCACAATAAGTGACATCATCAAACACTTTTTTTAAACCTCCTTTATAATCCCTTTAAAGCTTTCTCAGCTGTGTTTCTAGGCTGAGTTTTTAGGCTGGGTTTTTATAGTGGTGTGATTTTACAACAGAAAGATAAACTACCTCCCACTTGTTAACACCATATAATTATCAATTGAAATTATGATGCGAGATATGAAATAGTATTTTAAATCTGTAAAGATTTCAATTAGCGAATGAAAACAGAATACAAACTTTCTGGACTTCAATTAATAACTGTACAGCTGTATAAAAGTTTCTATTTTATCTGATAACTGTATAAAAATTTCTATTTTAACTGATAACTGTATAAAAGTTTCTATTTTAACTGATAACTATATAAAAGTGTCAATTTTAACTGATAACTGTATAAAAGTGTCAATTTTAACTGATAACTGTATAAAAGTTTCTATTTTAACTGATTGCTGTATAAAAGTTTCTATTTTAACTGATAACTGTATAAAAGTTTCTATTTTAACTGATAGCTGTATAAAAGTTTCAATTTTAACTGATAACTGTATAAAAGTTTCAATTTTAACTGATAACTGTATATTTTAAACTGATTGCTGTATAAAAGTTTCTATTTTAATTGATAACTGTATAAAAGTGTCTATTTTAACTGATAACTGTATATTTTAAACTGATTGCTTTATAAAAGTTTCTATTTTAATTGATAACTGTATAAAAGTTTCTATTTTAACTGATAACTGTATAAAAGGTTATATTCTAATTGATAACTGTATAAAAGTTTCAATTTTAACTGATAACTGTATAAAAGTTTCAATTTTAACTGATAACTGTATAAAAGTTTCAATTTTAACTGATAACTGTATAAAAGTTTCAATTTTAACTGATAACTGTATAAAAGTTTCTATTTTAACTGATAACTGTATAAAAGTGTCTATTTTAACTGATAACTGTATAAAAGTTTCTATTTTAACTGATTGCTGTATAAAAGTTTCTATTTTAACTGATAACTGTATAAAAGTTTCAAATGTAACTGATAACTGTATATTTTAAACTGATTGCTGTATAAAAGTTTCTATTCTAACTGATAGCGGTATATTTTATCTGATAACTGTATAAAAGTATCTGTTTTAACTGATAACTGTATAAAAGTTTCTATTTTAACTGATAACTGTATAAAAGTTCAATTTTAACTGATAACTGTATATTTTAAACTGATTGCTGTATAAAAGTTTCAATTTTAACTGATAGCTGTATATTTTAAACTGATTGCTGTATAAAAGTTTCAATTTTAACTGATAGCTGTATATTTTAACTGATTGCTGTATAAAAGTTTCAATTTTAACTGATAGCTGTATATTTTAACTGATAGCTGTATATTTTATCTGATAACTGTATAAAAGTTTCTATTTTAACTGATAACTGTATAAAAGTTTCTATTTTAACTGATAACTGTATAAAAGTTTCAATTTTAACTGATAATTGTATATTTTAAACTGATTGCTGTATAAAAGTTTCAATTTTAACTGATAGCTGTATAAAAGTTTCTATTTTAACTGATAACTGTATAAAAGTTTCGATTTTAACTGATAACTGTATATGTTAAACTGATTGCTGTATAAAAGTTTCTATTTTAATTGATAACTGTATAAAAGTTTCTATTTTAACTGATAACTGTATAAAAGGTTATATTTTAATTGATAACTGTCTAAAAGTTTCAATTTTAACTGATAACTGTATAAAAGTTTCAATTTTAACTGATAACTGTATAAAAGTTTCTATTTTAACTGATAACTGTATAAAAGTGTGTATTTTAACTGATAACTGTATAAAAGTTTCTATTTTAACTGATTGCTGTATAAAAGTTTCTATTTTAACTGATAACTGTATAAAAGTGTCAATTTTAACTGATAACTGTATAAAAGTGTGTATTTTAACTGATAACTGTATAAAAGTTTCTATTTTAACTGATAACTGTATAAAAGTTTCTATTTTAACTGATAACTGTATAAAAGTGTGTATTTTAACTGATAACTGTATAAAAGTTTCTATTTTAACTGATTGCTGTATAAAAGTTTATATTTTAACTGATAACTGTATAAAAGTGTCAATTTTAACTGATAACTGTATATTTTAAACTGATTGCTGTATAAAAGTTTCTATTTTAACTGATAGCTGTAAATTTTATCTGATAACTGTATAAAAGTTTCTATTTTTAACTGATAGCTGTATAAAAGTTTCAAATGTAACTGATAACTGTATATTTTAAACTGATTGTTGTATAAAAGTTTCAATTTTAACTGATAGCTGTATATTTTATCTGATAACTCTATAAAAGTTTCTATTTTTAACTGATAGCTGTATAAAAGTTTCAAATGTAACTGATAACTGTATATTTTAAACTGATAGCTGTATACAAGTTTATATTTTAACTGATAGCTGTATATTTTAACTGATAACTGTATATTTTAACTGACAGCTGTATAAAAGGTTATATTTTAACTGATAACTGTATAAAAGTGTCAGTTTTAACTGATAACTGTATAAAAGTGTCAATTTTAATTGATAACTGTATAAAAGGTTATATTTTAATTGATAACTGTATAAAAGTTTCTATTTTAACTGATAACTGTATAAAAGTTTATATTTTAACTGATAGCTGTATAAAAGTTTCTATTTTAATTGATAACTGTATAAAAGTTTATAATTTAATTGATAGCTGTATAAAAGTTTCAATTTTATCTGATAACTGTATAAAAGTTTATAATTTAATTGATAGCTGTATAAAAGTTTATATTTTATATTAATATAACTTCAAATTTAACTTTAATTAAGATTAAGGTCAAAGTATTTCACAATAAAGCCAATAAACCTTGCACATTCGCTTTAATAAAACTATACACAATCATGGTTAAAAAAAAACTATTAGAAATCACGTAGGCTAAACTACATGACATGAATAGTACATAGATTTCATTTGTTATTTTGAACTCTATAGACTAAATTTACCTCCTTTCTTTTTATTGTGAATGTTATTTTTACTTTTAATTCATGTTTTTCTAGATTGAGTCATAAAGGGAACTTGCAAATCATAGTGTATGGACGCTACCTTATGCGCACTAGTTGCCAAATAACACTTATTCCCTTATAATTGCTATGTTACCAAGAATATTTTGTTTAACTGTTATGCAAGATATGTCATTTAGTATAATATGACTCATATCGGGTGTCCCAAAAAAAACCCATCCCAAAGTTCAACAGTTAGTATCTCAGCTGTTGGTAAACTGATCTCTTTCAAAATTCTCTAAGATATACTTCAAGATGTTGTTGTCCAACCCTGAAAATATGACAGTCATGAAATTAAAATTGTACAAGTAAGCTACTGCCCTGAACAAAATAGCATAAATATATCCCAGAGTTGGTATGGAAAGAAATCTGATTGGCTCTCATTGTCATCAAACTGATGAATGCTCAAGAGGCCCGTCTTTAGACACTAAAAAAAAATGGATGAATGAAAAATAAAAGCTTGTAAACGGAACAAAAATTTGGTCTAATTGGACTAGTTTTGAGCGAAATCTAAAATATTAAGGAGAAATATTGTTGATTTTCAGGATTTGCGAGAAAAACAAGTGAGAGAAAAGGAAGAAAATAAATTTCCTGCTGACGAAGGAAAGAAACCTGTAAATATTAAAAAGAACAGATATAAGGATATTTTACCTTGTAAGTAATGTTGTGTTTGATACCTCTCATGATAACCGTGTTCACAGGACAAAAAAAATTCTGTTTGAAACCTTCTTTAGTTCAGCAGAGATTGATTCATTTACAGTACAAAATCAAAAAGATATAGATTTTGATATGTTTTTGGCACTTCAAAATTGTCAGAAATGAGTTCTGTGGTCTTGTAATACCTCATATTTTCTGAATACAAAATCTGAGCTCCCCAGCCAGCACCAATTCATTCCTGGCGATGAGGCTGTGAAGATTATTGTCATTGTTATTTACAGTTGATGAATCTCGAGTGATCCTAGATGGGAAGGAAAAAGGAGAAGAATTTATCAATGCCAGCTATATTAAGGTACAGTTGTAACGGAATGTAGACATTTTCATCTGTTTGATAGAGACTATCAAGCTCTTGAGTCCTGTTGGAAGTGTTACTAGTGAAACGGTGCATGCTAACCGATCTAGAAAAGCACCTATCTCTTTATGACTGGATTTGTCAACTCAGATCCCAGTTTGGAGAATCCACGCAGCTAATAACCTTCATAAAATTTTGATATATAGATTTTAATTTAAAAATTCTTAAAGTCATACTATGTCTCAGAATTAACATAAAATTTAAGAACTTGGCGAATAAGAGCCAGTAGATATACCTGGTGTCATAAATAACATAATAGGATCCTTATATAATCCGATAAATCCAAAAAACTTAATAATTATCCATAGATATGCAATTAACTATTTAATAAAAAGCTTAATATCAAGATTAAGCGTTTTTTCAATATTTACTTAGGTTATGAATTTTCCAATTTAACAGGGATTCTGTTGTAACTTTATGACACCAGGTAAGTTCACTGATGAATATATACTCATATTGACCATATCGAGAACTTAAGTTTTATGTTCATTCTAAGATGTAGTATCACTTTAATGATTGCCCATGATTTTCACCCGGATCATGCTTTTGTTTGAAGAATCATAATTAGAAAGCTGATCTCTTGGTTTATTTCCATCTTATTTATATTCTCAAATATACAGTATTGGGTCAGCAATGTAACCACGTAAACAATCTTCTTCAGTAGGGGTACGGTCAGTTATTCATTGGACAAATGCTTACTGGACAACTGCTCACTAGACATCTACTTACCGAATGTGAAATATAGTAAATTTGCTATAAAGGATTACAAAAGAACTCTTTGATTTTCTAATCTATTCTCTAGCTATAGCAATAATTCTATTTTTAGGGTCCAAATGGAGAAAAGAATTATATTGCCAGCCAAGGTCCTTTGCCCCATACTGTTAATGATTTTATACGAATGTTATGGGAGCTGAAGATAGAAATAGTATTTATGTCTTGTCGTCTGGAAGAAGGTGAACCAAAGAAGGTAAAAATCTTATTTCACAAGCACTGGCTGTGACGCTAGAATTAGAATTGACATGAATTGATCTGGTTGTATCTCATGATTTTGACCATTATAGTAGTGGCAGTCGTCACTGGTGAAGCAGATCATGCTTACTCTTTTTGAATCACCTGATGGCACTTCTCTTGGAAAAGTCCACTACTATACAACTTTTATTCTTTTTTTTACCGTTTTTGGACAAGATTTTTGATTGACGGAATTGTCTTGCTTACACAGCATTTAATTGTGTAGTTAATTATTGGTTCCTGTAGTTATAGAAATGATGAACCATTTATGACATCAGTATCTCTAATTGCTGCTGATAATATCTGAAGGCCTTCTGCGATAGCTTTACCATAAAATGCTTTTTTTTAGTGATTAGGGTATATTTTTAGTGGAATTTCAAGAACCACAGACGTTTGATTGAAAATTGTAATGGTGCAAATTGATGCTATCAGTGTCCCTGATACACATAAAAAGATTAAACACTTCTTTACAATCCATATAAAGGAAGAATTCACTTTATACGTTCATCGAAGACACTAATAAAATGACTATCACAAATTTCAACCAAACCAACAAGTTTTTTGCAACAATGGTGCTGAGTCGAAATTTGGTAAAATTTTCACTAATACAAATATATATTGGTTGGAAAACAGAATTTTGAATATCTTTAGATCACATTATAAAACAAACCATTATCAAATAGTATACGCCCAATTTTTTTCAAAATTTGTTTAAATGCTTGAGAAATCATATTGATTGATATACATACAATAGATGTAAAAACACAGATATAATCATCTCTTTATTACACTTGTTATATCTGATGATACACCTACTTGATTATTATTTAACTTAGAAATACACCTACTTGATTATTATTTAACATACAAATACACCTACTTGATTATTGTTTAACTTAGAAATACACCTACTTGATTATTATTTAACATACAAATACACCTACTTGATTATTAATTTACTTAGAAACACACCTACTTGATTATTAATTTACTTAGAAATACACCTACTTGATTATTAATTTACTTAGAAATACACCTACTTGATTATTATTTAACTTAGAAATACACCTACTTGATTATTAATTTACTTAGAAATACACCTACTTGATTATTAATTTACTTAGAAATACACCTACATGATTAGTATTTTACTTAGAAATAAACCTGCTTGATTATTATTTAACATAGAAATAAACCTACATGATTATTATTTTACTTAGAAATAAACCTGCTTGATTATTAATTTACTTAGAAATACACCTACAAGATTATTATTTTACTTAGAAATAAACCTGCCTGATTATTATTTTACTTAGAAATAAACCTACTTGATTATTATTTTACTTAGAAATAAACCTGCTTGATTATTATTTTACTTAGAAATACACCTACTTGATTATTAATTTAGAAATACACCTACTTGATTATTAATTTACTTAGAAATACACCTACATGATTAGTATTTTACTTAGAAATAAACCTGCTTGATTATTATTTAACATAGAAATAAACCTACATGATTATTATTTTACTTAGAAATAAACCTGCTTGATTATTAATTTACTTAGAAATACACCTACAAGATTATTATTTTACTTAGAAATAAACCTGCCTGATTATTATTTTACTTAGAAATAAACCTACTTGATTATTATTTTACTTAGAAATAAACCTGCTTGATTATTATTTTACTTAGAAATAAACCTGCTTGATTATTATTTTACATTTTATCTTTCTTTTTCTATTTATATCTTTTCTTTATATGACAGAGTCTTGTGAAAAGACAAGTCATCTTTTTCACATTCAAAAGAGGAGAATTCTGGATACACATGGATTTGAAATTTCAATTTTTACATTGAATTGTGATCATTATGAGTGATTATCTTAACTCAAAAATTTATCTTTTCATTTCTGAGACTATAATGTACAATTGGTCACACGAATGGTTAAATGCATCTCCACTGTATCTAGTTAGGATTAGAAATAAGAGTACAGTAGAGTACTGTATATGAAATATGTAATGGTATATTTTATAGGTTTATAATACCAATAGAGCTCTACATGTATATCCTAGTAAGCACAGTGATATAATCAATATAATAGATGGTTGACTGAACTTCAAAATAAAATATAATTAAAGGAATACTACTTCTTAGAATGAACATCAAATTTATAGTGTCAAACTTAGTCAATAAGAGTATATTATTATATTTATCAGTTGAACTTACCAGGTACCATGACTAAAGAATAGAATCTCTATATAAGACGATATATCCATTAAACTAAATTATTATTGAAAAATTTGGCCAAGTTGAAAAATTTCAATTTTTTGGTCATCCTAAGAGGTAGTATACCTTTAAAGATAGACTCCCACTGTTGTTTTGATTGTAGTGATCTATTCAATTATTCATTGTATTATGATAATAAACATAATTTCACGTGGGTTAAAATAAGGCCTTTGTTCCCATTGAAGTCCATTGTTAAAATAAAGCCCATACAAGGAAATAGAATAAAAAACGATCCATGAGGGTAGGGTTGGCACGGTGAATCGATGTATTGCATTACGACATGCAGCGATACGCGCATCATATTGTATGGTCGTGTATCAACAATTGACGATACCTTTCATTCCAATGACATTTTTTTAATTTGGTGAATGGAATCACAAATTTTTCTTACCGACTTGACTGAAATTGTTCGAAACTATTTATAAGAAAATGAACACTAACCACTTCTATCAACTATATTACCAAATATCACAGTTATAAAGTTATAAATTAATATATATAGTAACTATTTATAAGACAGTGGACATTAACCACTCATCAACTATATTACCAAATATCACCGTTATAAAGTTATAAATTAATATATATAGTAACTATTTATAAGACAGTGGACACTAACCACTTCTATCAACTATATTACCAAATATCACAGTTATAAAGTTATAAATTAATATATATAGTAACTATTTATAAGACAGTGGACACTAACCACTCATCAACTATATTACCAAATATCACAGTTATAAAGTTATAAATTAATATATATAGAAACTATTTATAAGACAGTGGACATTAACCACTCATCAACAACATTACCAAATATCACAGTTATAAAGTTATAAATTAATATATATAGTAACTATTTATAAGACAGTGGACACTAACCACTTCTATCAACAACATTACCAAATATCACAGTTATAAAGTTATAAATTAATATATATAGTAACTATTTATAAGACAGTGGACATTAACCACTTCTATCAACTATATTACCAAATATCACAGTTATAAAGTTATAAATTAATATATATAGTAACTATTTATAAGACAGTGGACATTAACCACTCATCAACTATATTACCAAATATCACAGTTATAAAGTTATAAATTAATATATATAGTAACTATTTTCAAGACAGTGGACACTAACCACTTCTATCAACAACATTACCAAATATCACAGTTATAAAGTTATAGATTAATACATATAGTAACTATTTATAAGACAGTGGACACTAACCACTCATCAACTATATTACCAAATATCACAGTTATAAAGTTATAAATTAATATATATAGTTACTATTTATAAGACAATAGACATTAACCACTCATCAACTATATTACCTAATATCACAGTTATAAAGTTATAAATTAATGTATATAGTAACTATTTATAAGACAGTGGACATTAACCACTTCTATTAACTATATTGGCACAATTCTTGATGGATTTTACAGTATGAGTGTTTGTTATCACCCAAGGATAAACCCTACTGAAAATCAGAAAAATCGAAAAATGATTATTATGAGTTATTGCCCTTGCTATTGAAAACACGTTCAATTTTAGCTCGTAATCACTCTAGAAGGCACAATTCTTGAAAATCAGAAGAAATATAGCTTTTGACAAAACTTGGTTTTATTATTCAGTCCCGCACTGAAGATTGAATATTTGCCTTCTAGAGTTTTCACGAGCTAAAAATTGAACACTTTTTCAAGAACAAGGGCAATAACTCATACTCAATATTATTTAGTATCATCCTAAAGAGTTCAAAAGAAGTGTATGACTGAAGGTTGAATATTTCATACTGGTGATTGTTACTGTACTGCTAAATATCTTTATTCAAAATCAAAGCTGCCAGTGGGCATATTTTACCTTGCCTGGCAAGCTATTTTTCAGTTTATCGATGTATAAACAGAAAAAAACCTATGTACACTTATGTATAAACTGCTACACAGATTTATACAGTGTACACAGGTTTATTCTGTTTATACATCCATAAACTGAAAAAATGTTTCAATAATTTCGAAATAAGTCCATAAATCATGATTTTGTTTATTTTTTGAGAGTGCACATTCGAGGGAATTTGGAAAACACTGTAATCTTTCAGTGAAGTGTAGATTTCGGCTCTGGTGACGTTCGAAGGAAAGGCATCGACGCTGTGTAGTGGCCACGTCAATCAGACTCAATGATTAAAGTAGTCTGTTAAGGGGCAGAGCTTATATTTACATTCTGTTTACACAGATATAAACTGAATTCGCGTGACCGCTGTTATCCAATCAAATTGCGTGATACCATGTAAACAGAATCGTGATTTAATTATATGAATTAATTTGAGAAAATCGTTAAGGGTGCATCCTGTTCATGATACGGTGATATTTTGGTATTCTAAGATGAGGAAATATTACTTAAGATATAAATTCCTATACTGGTAAAACATTCTCTAAATTTTACATATCTGAACCTAAAGTTAAAGATGGGTTTCCTTATTTTTTAGTGTCAAATTAAGCAAATTATTTGATTAATTGGTGTTCTAATGAATTATCATATGTTCTTAATAATATCATTATGTTCTTATTGCATATAATTAAAAGTTTTAACCAATCATAAATGTCCATGTATGTACAATCTGGATAAACAAAAAAATACTTTTTGACCTTTCTTGATCGGTCATTCATTGGAATTCCGCTGGTAATTCTCTTCTAATTTAGCTAATTATGAATTAATTATGTACATGTGAGATAAACTGGTATTTTTCCAAGTTATTAGAACACACCTTCTTTCTATTCATATAAGTATTATCATTTTCATTTTCATAAATATAAATAAGGGAACCCATCTTTAATAAAAGAAGCCATATGTAAGTATTTGTACTATTGCAATGAAATAGTTTCAAGGATTATTTGGTCTAGTAGGTTGTATACATGATGGTATATGAAATCAAGATGGGTTTAAGAATATTGTTACAGTATGTAAAAATGATATATGATCAGGTTTTGAAATTTTTAAAGATCTCAAAAATGCAGTGTGCAGATTTGACCTGGTTGTTTGGTGATCTGAACAGAAATAATGCTAGAATTACAAGGATGTAAAATATATTTCACAATAGTGTGATACTTATTTGAATTAACCCACTTTAAGCAGATTGAAATGAAATGAATGGAGTTTTACATCCTATGTTTCTACACTGTGTGGGCTAATGAAGACGGGATAAACAGATTGAAATCTACACATTCAAATGTTAGAATGAAATGTCCACAATGAAATATGTGCTTGATATTGATTTGAATGGCTTCAAGACAGGACACATTTTGATGTCTTGGCCGGTGCTTGCCATAGTCCATCAGCCCAATCTTGGCTCTTTCAATCCTGCTGTATAAATGAACTAATATTTTCTAGATAGTTTGAAAAACAGAATTACCCTTGCTTCTCAGAAATATTACCAAAACTTTCATAGATATATTGCCTCTTTCTTTTTGTCTATGATTGAATCTAAATTACGATTTCTGGTTTTGAATTAAGTTTTATTATCCAATCAGATTACTGTATTTCTTAAAATCTGGATTTTTTACCAGTAAGTTGAGTTTGGAAAATAAGGCCCCACGCCTTCTAAAGCTTTAGGGCTATTGTAAGTTTATGAAGCACCAGCACAATGTGGCATTCCTGTCATAGTATTCTGGGATAGTCTTAATATTTGTTTATTTTTCAGAAAAAATGTGAGAAATATTGGACAGATTCAGGTGAATCAAAAGAATTTGGAAAAATAACAGTTACAACTGTAAGTTATGAATTCACTAATCGCGAAGTCCTTATGTGATAAAGCATAATTATTTTGCGATTAGTGACGTTATCAAACATTTAAGTTTATTGGAATTGCAGAAACCACAGACGTCTGGTTGAATATTGGAATGATGCAAAATGATGCTACACATACAAATTTTAGAAAACCTCTATACAATACCTTTTAGAGAAAGTTAAAAACATATGTCACATTCAAAACTTTCCCATCTGTCTCTTTCTCCGCCATTTTGAATTCTGCCTACACTTACTATGTATTAAACAGATATGGAATGCGTTTTGAACTCTGTTCCAACTTGTTTTATTGAACTTCTGTTTGATTCTATGAATTCTGAACGGCAGATCAAGTGAACCCTCAATGAATCATTAGTGGGTTTTTTTAAAAGCAGTCCTAATGTTTATCCTTATTATTATTATTATGTCCATATTTAACGTGAAAAGTAATGAGAGTCAACATAGAAATAGTTGTTTAAGTCATCAGTATGTGTGATCAAAGGTTGCATGTCAAAGACGCTTAACTACCTTTGTAAATCACGATGGTGTGAAAATATATTATTTTTAGGAAGAAGAAACACTACCAATGAAAGATTTTTATAGGCGTAGAATACATTTATCATGTGACGGCTCCCATCATAGAGTGACACAATTTCATTATATTGGTTGGCCAGATCACGGTATACCTGATCACCCATCACTACTCAATATTATGATAAATCACATGAGAGTTGAACGTAAACGACATGATATTCCTTTAGTTGTACATTGTAGGTAAGTATTGCACTGGGAGTTACTTCCCTTACAAACTGGTTACTGACATTCGAGATACTAGAGACAAGCAATGGTGGGCCTAAATTTTGTCCGTTGGTGAATTTGCTAGGACAGTGGTGTCAACTTTTTTGCTCAACTTTGTAATCCAGTTTTTAAGAGATTTTGACTTGTACATCAAAGGAATTGTATTTCCTTGTTTTCTGTGTTTGATTGGGGTTACAAAAGAAGGATATGCCATATAGCATGCATATCAGTACCTCTGACTACATCACTGACTGTTAGGAAACGATGGTACATCTCTCTTGTTGTGCTTTGAGTGACCTAGGCACTTTCAGTCAAATTACTTGGCTTCAAGAGTATGTAACCTGAAAGAGAGTGAAAAACTGGACCATAAGGGAAACAACCTTCATTCTATTGATCACTTAGCACACCATGGCAGCTTTAATTGTATTCTAACTATATTCCATATTTCAGTGCTGGTTGTGGAAGAACTGGTACAATATGTGCTATAGATTATGCTTGGACATTATTAAATGAAGGGGTAGGTTGTCTTTGTTAGGTCTACCTTACTTTCTCACAAAATATTACAGTGAAAGACCTCATCTTTAAAGGGCCATTCCCTCTAGACAATCGTTTTTGAAAATTCCTTGCCAAATCACTATAATTGTAGATTGACAGGTTTAGAAGCCAGGAGAAATTTGGTCAACAAACATGGTACCAATTACGGAGTGCAGGATCTTTGTAGAGATTTGCATTTGGTCCCTGGGGCCTCAAAATGAGACACAAAAGCACTCTAGGTGGTAGTCCGAAACATCTGCCTCTGATGGATATTTTGACAGTTGTCAGCTGGAGTAGAGTCTGTTAAATGGGGATTTTCCACACCTCCGAAGATGCGTTTTTTCTAACATGATATTAAATTACCTTTACAAAAGTTCTAAATTAATGTTGGGCATCACTGTAATTTTTGGTTCTATTAAGTGACACTGTGACCTTCGCACGCAGTTTTAAATGGCCGATGCTAGTTCAGTTTTGTTAAAATAAAATTTGATGGAACAGGAGACGTGACATAAATGGTGTAGGGAGAAAATGATGGTATGACTGAACAACAAAAATATCCCAAATTTAATATCGCCTATTTTTTCTGTCTCTACACCAGCTGACATCTGTCCGAATAGCTATCAGAGGCTGGAATAGAGACAGATGTTTTGGTCCATCTAGATGGTTGCTCATAAATCAAAATCATAAATATTATTGTAAAGGGAGCGAACTACAGATATCAGATTATCAGAAATAACTCTGTTTGATTAACATATTCTCCTCTAACCTGGCAATCCCCCTGAATGGGTGTTTTCCATATATAACTTGTGTTATCTAAACCAATCATTGATGGAGATCGATATAGTCACATTTTTTTCATGGACTAATGGAAATAGGCATTAAGTATGCAGAGGAAAAATCATAATGATGTTCTTTAAACATTCCAATGAAATTAGAGCATCAAATTTTGTGACTGTGAAAATGGTAGTGTTTTTCTATTTCAAAACTCTGCAATTTAATAATCATTCTTTACCTGTTAAAATTACAGAAAATTGGAAAAGATTTTAGTTTGTATGATATTATATTAAAAATGAGAGAACAGAGACAATCCATGGTTCAAACACCAGTAAGTTTTGGTACAATATTTTGAATTTTGAGGAGAGTGTCAGGACAACTAGCTGTCTGCAATCATACAATCATACAATTTTGTTTGCTTAAAAATAACATCATTGGAACGGGACTGTGGTAGAAAACTTGTTAGATTACAATCGAGACACAAAAATATAAAATAAAAAACACAAAAGGAAAATTGTTGTCTGATTTGTTCAATAAGGGCAGATTCTCATGAAAAATGCAAATAATTGTAGATACACATGGATTTGAAGGCTCAAATTTCGACTGTGAGCTGTGAACACTATAACTGATTAGCTCAGCTAAAAAATTCCAGTTTCTGAGACTAAGGTACGATTGGTCAAATGCATGGTGAACTTCAGAGTTCTGACTATAAAACTGTTTCACTTCAGGATCAGTATGAATTAGTACATTTGGTAATGGAGAATTTATTTACAGAATGGATTAAAAATTACGAAATGAACAATGATGTAGATACAGAACAGGTAGATATATTATATATGTATATATGCCTTGTATGGTACGAGGGGGTGAAAATCTAGATGGATCCTCTAAAGCTCTGGCAGTGCCATTTTTTTTTCCATGAGGAGGATAGAACCCAAATCCTTATAGCCCAGAAGATGACAATCCAACTCCCAACTAACTGAGCTATCCACTGCCACGTGTTATAGGTCTGACTGAGTACAGTATTAGAAAGGATCTGTGGAATGTTTGAAGAGGGAAAGGTTTAAATCTTATGTAAATCTTATGGCTTGTAAAATCTGAAGATTGAGGAAAGGAACCCAATCTCTTGCTTTGATATAAATATTAACATAAGCACACATTATGTCTTCAAACTTTGCTTTTACAGAGGCCCATTTTCAGCCATAATTTGTGACTTTTTGGGGTTGAAATTGCTGCTAGGGAAATGAGTTTCTTTGTAATGTAAACTTACAAAAGATTATATTTTTATCAATGCAAAGACATTCTAAGACTATCATTATTATTTTGAGACTGATATTCCAATTCTTTTAAAAAATATTGAAAAAAATTCAAAAAACTTTTTAATTTGCTCAGACAATAGGATGCGATATTAATTTCTTTTTTTAAATTTTCAAAAATTGTCTTTCATAGTTGGTCTTCTTATATTTAAAATCTCAATTCTCAGGGTAAACCATCAGCCCTGTGGCCTCATGAATTGGCGTTGTTGGGGCTCAGATTTTGTACTCACATAATTTGCAGAATTAAAGACCCAGAGAACTCCTTTCTGACAATTTTGAGGTTTCTAAAACATATAAATATCCTTATCTTTTTAATTTGTTACAAAGATACTATAAATGAATCAATCTCTGCTGAACTGAAGAAGGTTTTCTTGGGCTTAATTCTAATTTGCTGGGGCCCTGCCCCGACTGACCCCACTCTAACGACAGGATTGTAAAACATTATAATACCTAATATTGTTTACTATTTCAGTTATACTATAATGTTGATTTAGGTAAGAAATTGTCTTTTGTCTTTAATTAATCCTTAAGCTTCTGAATAGTGTGTACTCTCAAAATCTTACACATATTAGAAAAAGGTATCGTCTCAACAACCTATGCCGGGATTGAACTCTAGACCTTCAGGTTAGTGAGCTAGCGTCAAACTCACTGAGTCACTGCACTCCCTGATTCAAACAAACAAATCATCCAATCAACAGCCTTTCTTCTTCACAACGTCACAAAATTTATAAAATAACTGTTAGGGTTATAGAAATTTGAAGCAACCCATGCTCATAGCGTTATAGAAAATTCAAAACTACCCAAAGTATTTTAGAAATTCCAAAACTTCCCCTAGTGTTATAGCAAATCCAAAACTACCCATAGTGTTTTAGAAAATTAGAAACAATCCATAGTGTTATAGAAAATTAGAAACAACCCATAGTGTTAAATTATAGAATATTCAAAACTACCTATAGTGTTATAGAAAATCCAAAACTACCCATTGTGTTATAGAAAATTAAAAACAACCCATAGAAAATACAAAACTACCTAAAGTGTTACAGTCCCTCAGTTCTATAGAAAATAAGAGACAACCAACAGTTCTATAGAAAACTGAAAACAACTCACAGATCTATAGAAAATTTAAAACAACCTACAGTGCTAAGGAAAATAAGAAACAACACAGTGCCATAGAAAATTAAAAACGACCCACAGTTCTATAGAAAATTCGAAACAACCAACAGTTCTATAGAAAATTAGAAACAACATAGTGCTATAGAAAATTAAAAACAACCCACAGTTCTAAAGAAAATTGAAAACAACTGACAGATCTATAGAAAATTTAAAACAACCTACAGATCTATAGAAAATTTAAAACAACCTACAGTGCTATAGAAAATTGAAAACAACTGATAGATCTATAGAAAATTTAAAGCAACCTACAGTGCTATAGAAAATAAGAAACAACACAGTGCTATATAAAATTGAAAAAGGACCCACAGTTCTATAGGAAATTCGAAACATCACCGTGCTATAGAAAATTAAAAACAACCCACATTTCTATAAAAAATTAGAAACAACATAGTGCTATAGAAAATTAAAAACAACCCACAGTCCTATAGAAAATTGAGAACAACTGACAGATCTATAGAAAATTTAAAACAACCTACAGATCTATAGAAAATTGAAAACAACCTACAGTGCTATAGAAAATTGAAAACAACTGACAGATCTATAGAAAATTGAAAACAACTGACAGATCTATAGAAAATTTAAAACAACCTACAGATCTATAGAAAATTGGTATAGAAAATAAGAAACAACACAGTGCTATATAAAATTGAAAAAGGACCCACAGTTCTATAGGAAATTCGAAACATCACCGTGCTATAGAAAATTAAAAACAACCCACATTTCTATAAAAAATTAGAAACAACATAGTGCTATAGAAAATTAAAAACAACCCACAGTTCTATAGAAAATTATAAACAACCCACATTTCTATAGAAAAATAACAACAACCAACAGTTCTATAGAAAATTAGAAACAACCAACAGTTCTATAGAAAATTATAAACAACCTACATTTCTATAGAAAAATAACAACAACCAACAGTTCTATAGAAAATTAGAAACAACCAACAGTTCTATAGAAAATTAGAAACAACATAGTGCTATAGAAAATTGAAAACAACCCACAGTTCTATAGAAAATAAGAAACAACCAACAGTTCTAAAAACTGAAAACAACTCACAGATCTATAGGAAATTTTAAACAACCTACAGTGCTATAGAAAATAAGAAACAACGAACAGTTCAATAGAAAATTAGAAACAACATAGTGCTATAGAAAATTAGAAACAACCCACAGTTCTATAGAAAATTAGAAACAACCCACAGTTCTATAGAAAATTAGAAACAACATAGTGCTATAGAAAAAAAGAAACAACCCAAAGTGCTATTAGAAAATAAGAAACAACCAACAAAAAAGAAAAGTAATAAATAAGTGATTAACATCTGACAAAAGCATAGAGCATAGACAATTTAAAATAACCCACTTAGTTTGGTGTTGAAACCTTTAGAATACATAGTAGACTTATTTCTCTGCAATTAGGAGTTTATTTTACTCAAATCAGTACAGTAGTTTTCTAACAGCTTGCAAAATGCATAATGAACTTAAAAATATCTTTTGGGTTGAAAAATTAAAGGCTGGATATTTTTAGTTAACAAGCCTTAACTCCAGATTGTCATTATAGCCAGTGCTTCAACAATATAAGATAATACATACCTTTAATACCACACTATTTATTTCAGTGGATATTTACAAATCCTATGAAGTATTTCATAATCGATGCAAAACTGCACCTCGAACGTCAGAATATGAAAATTATATGCCTGCCAGCAGACATCATTATGAAAATCTTTCATTACCTGTTTTAGTGCGAGATCCAGAATCTAGTAAGAAGCTTGCTTAATTTAGACATATACTGCATGTATTAATTAGACAGTGTAGGCTGGAAAGGGAAAGCTTTTCATATACTATCAAATCTTACAGTCTTTGACGACCCCCATGTTGTTATTGTATGTTGCCAATGTTTCTGCTTCCCTGTGGATATGACATTCAACACCAAACATATTTGTATTTGTCCTTCATTTGTCCTTCATGCTGCTTTGTTTCATAGCGTTGGCTTTTATTATTCATGTAATATATGTCATACTATTAGCTTATTTTTATATAATAGAATTCTCAGTTAGTATCTTGAAATCAGTAGAAATTGTCAAGGGGAATACAATTTTTAAGACTAAGATGTTTTTATCTGTAATGTAGATACTGAGCAATCGATATACTAAATTATAATTTTCAGTCAAGGATTTATGATGTCACTATTGCAAAAGCTGCAATTAAAGGGATTGTAAAGAGTTTTTCTAAATTTTGTATGTGTATCTGAAACACTGAGAGCATCAATTTACACCATTCCAATTGTCAATCTGGCGTCTGTGGTTCCAGTAATTTCACTAATACTAAGTGTCTAGTACACGTAAAAAATGTCAATCCCTTTAAGTTTTTTTTGGTATGGTAACCACTAGTTTTTGTACAAATCAATACTATCAATGCATATAGTATGTTTTAGTGAAGATATTATTAACTGCTAGTGGTAGAAAATACACATTATATTATGTAAATAAGTTCATCTTTATGGATTATGAAACGAATTCTTCATTTTTTTATCACTTTTTCTTTTTTTTTTAATTTTTACATTGTTTTTATTATGGTATATATTTCATTAGAATTTCACGTAAAACTTTTTTTGGCAATATCCAATTTTTCGGTCCAATTTAAGAGATATAGTTTCACAATTTGAGAGTCAAAATTGCTATCCAATTTTTCCAAAAACTTTTTCAAATGTAAAATAGATTGATCGATTATGATCTATTTATTTATAGTAACATTTTCCTGATAATACCAGAGTAGATATTCACAATGTTAAGCTATACCTTGACTACAATAACCACTGTTCTTGTATCACAAAAGTTTGTAAATGCAGCAGTTTGATTGGATTG